CTATACGATCCAGCAATCCCTCTACTGGGTATTTACCCCTAAGACTTGAAAACATATCCAAACAGATATTTGCACACTGATGTTCAGAGCAGCATTATTCACAGTGGTCAAGACATGGAAGCAACCGAAGTGTCCTACGATAGATGATCGGCTAAAGAAGCTGTGGTACATATATACAATGGAATATTACTCGGCCATAAGAAGAGATGAAATACTGCCATTTGCGACAACATGGATGGACCTAGTGGTAACCATGCTAAGCGAAATAAGCCAGACAGAAAAAGTTGAAGACCACATGATATCACCTATATGTGGGGTATAAACCTAAAAGCAATAAAGAAACAGAGACTCATGGACATGGACTATAGACTAGCGGTTACCAGAGGGTGGGGGTGGAGGGAGGTAGACAGGGTAAAGGGGTCAAATATGTGATGGCAGAAAGAAATCTAACTATGGGAGATGAACACACAGTGTAAAGTACATATGCCTTACATATGCACAGCTAAAACTTACCAGATTTCATTAACCAATGTCACCACAAAAATAAAAAAATTGAAAAAAATAAAAATAAAAAATAAAAAATTCATTGCCCAGGTGGAAATCTTTATGCAACGTGGCGTCGAGAGCACGCACTGGGCAACGTCTGCACGCTGCCGCCCAGGATGCACGCTGCTCACCGCGGAAGGAGACAGGTCTGAGAGCTGCCACCACCCAGCACCGCAGGCAACCCAAAGGCCGAGGGCACCGCGGCACCCCCGCGCCCTGACACACCCCCTGGGAACGCTGTCTGGGTCTGGTTTTCGCCCAATATGGATTCTCCCTACGAAGAGCCTTTCTTGTTCACTAGGGACAACAGTAATGAAGGCTCCTCACTCTGCAGTACTTTTGTGGTAGGTCAGCAGACCAGATGAAATCGCGTGACTGGAACTGTGTGATCTAGTTCCCTTCTAAAGGCCAACTGGTGACTCTAGAGGTACGCTGTGCCTACGAGTAGATCCAAACCCAAAGGTCCTCAGATGTCACCTACAAAACTCAAACCAGTTTTCCTGTTTCAAAGTAAAGAGGGCCTCCTCATCTCTTCCCATTTACAGACCTGGGTGCCCTCCTAACAACCTCTTCTTTGCAATACTGAAAGCAGTTGCCACTATCCTAGCAACCAGTTCTAAAAATGTTGGCATCGTCACGCGTAGTATCTTCAATAAAGGCAAAAGCTCTCCACTACTTAATAAAAGTGCGTCAACTAAATAAAACGATAGAAAGTAACGTGTACAAATACCACAGAGATGTAATAAACTGTTTGGTAAAGTATGAGGCAATGACTGACATTTTTTAAGTGTGTTAGTTTTTTCTCTTTAAAGAATGCATAATTTTAAAGCATCAAAAATTTCCATCCTTATTGGATGGAAATTCCAATAAGGGGGGAAAAATACAACGTAAATGACAGATCTTACAAACCATAAACCATGAAAAGTTTACCACTGGTAACTCAAATGTTAACGTTTTAGAATTTCATCATCTTTAACATGTTCAAAACACATAAAATCCACTTCAGATGAGAAACAAGAAAAAGAAATTTGAAGTTACAGTACCTGGTAAAAGTTGGGTTGTGTTCAGTCATTGCAACCAACAGTTTCAGAGCATATGCTGGTACTGGGTCAGGCTCCGTGAGGATGTGCTCGTACCTGAAATGATGAAGTGATTAAAGAAAAATACTCAGTGGTTTTTCTGCACTTAAACTCTCCTCTGAACGACAGAAACAATATACCTTAAGGTGCAAACATCTGGGAAAAAAAAAAGATACTGAAATAAATATATGAGCTCTAGGATCTGCACTTGCCGATGGTGATGACCTACCACAGAGAATTTCACTGTTGGGCGGAGGGAATGAGACCATCCACATTAAGTGATTAGTACTGAGCTGCATACATAGTAGGAAACGAATAAACATCACGACCCTCACATTCAGAGCTTTGCTAGAGGAATCACAAGACTCACATACAGTCATACTTGTCATGCAGATTTAGTGCAGGAGCCCCCCGCCCCCTTATCCAAGGCGGGTATGTTCCAAGACCTCCTGTGGATGCCTGAAACCACGGGTAGTCCTGAACCCAGTGTATACCATGATTCTCCTTCGCTTGTACACAGTTTACGGCTTCTCTTTGGCGTGTCGGAATTGCCAGCACCACCCCTCTCACACTTTGGGGCCACTGTTAAGTAAAATCAGGGTCACGTGAACACGAGCACTGCGATAGAGCGACAGTCAATCCGATAACCCAGACGGCTACTAAGTGACTAACAGGCCATTAGCGTATACAGAGTAGACACACTAGACACATTGGACAAAGGGTGAGTCACATCCCAAGGGGACAGTGCAAGATTTCACCAGGCTAGTCAGAATGGCATGCAATTTAAAACATATGAATTGTTTATTTCTGGAATCTTCCATTTGATATTTTCAGACGGCGGTTGACCATGGGTTACTGAAACTATGGAACATGAAACCACAAATAATGTATGGCGGCAACACAGTGAGGACACACAAATGAATCATAAGGGAGAAGGACACAGGCGGAGTCTGGGGGCCCTGTGTGCAGGCCTCTTTAGGCTCTCTCCCTCCCATGAGGGGTGACACAGAGCACACTCTCTCTCCCAGCCACAAAAATGTAGCACGTGTGTGTGGTTTCCACCCAAGGAAGCCCATTAGAGTCTCAAGAGACCAAGGTTATTTGTGGCTGGCACGTAGGCCACTTCTGTCTAACAAGTATCAGAATCCCAGACTCCCAGAAGGAAGGCGGGTGTTCAACATAGACCGTATTGTTTGCACGAACAGTCCAGGCACCATCAACTACCCTCAGCAGTTCAACGCTGAGAACACGCCAAGGGCCAAATCCTAAGATGCCAGCCAGGGGCCGTCCTTTCAAGCAGATCTTTCTCAGGGTAGCAGCCTCAGGCCTGCTATGTTAACTCTTGTGTGAACAGTTCTCTTCTTATTAAAGCTTCATGATCTGAAACAGAAATTATTACCAGAAAAAAGAAAACTCAAAAGGTCTTTATCAAGTTTCCACAGCAAAGTTCAGACTGCGCTCCCATGTTATGTGCTATGCAGAGGCTGCTTTATATACGGTGTCTTGCCTGTCTGGGTTCAGCTATCCAGTATAGAGCACCATGCAGACACTCAAGTGTCGGATGGATGGATGGATGGATGGATGGATGGATGGATGGATGGTCGCTCTTGGTGGCACGAAGGAAGGAAGGAAGGAAGGAAGGAAGGAAGGAAGGAAGGAAGGTTGGTCGGTCAGATGGACAGACGAAGAAACAAACCAGTCAACTTTATGACTTAACTATCTGGAACAACCAACCACTAAAGAAGGGGAAAAATATCTCCAGAAAATCCAAAATGTATATTTAAAAATCCATGACATGAAGCAGATGCTTTTCATCTAGAGAATAGGGCCCCAGGCTCTTATTCAGAGCTTATTTACTCTCATTTTGGAAATCATCATATAACAAGCTTAATTATGCAGTCTCTAAGCCCACAGCCATTAAAGACAAGCCAAGTAACGGCAGGAGAGGGACGATTACCGAAAGGCAACCAGAGAATTACAAGAAGTAGGGCTGGAAAGCATAGGAAAAACAAAAGAAAGCACACCCAGGAACTCCAAACGGAGAGCAGTCTGGGGAGCATTTAACATAAGGAAGCTGTTCATACCTCAATGGGACCAGAGGGCCCATTACACACCGTAATGTTCAAACTGGGGGTAGCAAGTCAAGAAAATGTTAAACTGGGTAGAGTGCTCTGTCTGAGGAGGTGGGAAGTTCCACATTTTAGGAAATCTTAGAAAATATTTTTAAATTATAGAGATTAAAAGATTTACCCATGTATGACAAGACAAAAGATAAAATACCAAATCGTTCATAACGAAATCATAAAATATTGATAAAGAGAATGGTATGTTTAAATATATAACACAACCAAGCGTAATTAATTTTAAGAATGAAAAAAATCACATTTAGGAAAACAATGTTTTATCACATGAACAAAACAAAAATCAAGGAGACATCTTTAGAAATGAGTAAAAGGTATTCGTAAAATTTAACATCCAATTCAAACATTTTTTACAAAGGAACAACTCTTGGCATACTAGAGAGTTTTATAATCTTATAAAAAGTTCTTACCATTCTGAGGTGAGAGGACCCAAGATGACCCTCTGGCTCAAGAGTTTGCTAGAACTCAGAAAAGCTGTTCCGTTCCCAACTATCATTAATTACAGTGCAAGGATACTGATAAGAATCAGCAAAAATAAAAGGCAGAGAGCAGAGTCCAGGAGGGACCAGGCTCAAGCTTCCAGTTGCCCTCCCCCAGTGGAGCGGTGTGGACAGGGCTTAATCCTCCCAGCAACAGTGTGTAACAACATATGTGGAGTACTGCCAGCCAGGGAAACTCAACTCACTGGAGCGCTGGTCTCCAGGGTTTTTCAAGGATCAGTCACATACATAGGTATGCAGTGCCCGTGCGGCTATCATGAGTTCCTCAGTCTCTAGCCCCTCTAGAGGTCATGCGGATATGGTATGGTCCAAGGCCCTGACCATAATTTACATTGTTAGTGTAAATTATTTGGCATGACTTAAGGCCCCGGGCATATAGTGACCCTCTCATCGGGCAGGATATTCCAAAGACTGAAGTTATCTCCCAGAAGGTGGTCAAGGGCTAGTTTCTTTGTAAAGTTCAGAGTTTGAACACCCCACACTTGTTGAGTTAATCCTTCAGGATACACATCCTTAATAGAGAAACTGAGGCTCTGTTGAGTTTAAAGTGAGGCATTAATAAGAGATACGAGAAGGATGTGCTCTTCTGCTGCTCACCAGTTATTTAGAAATTGTCAGCCAGAGAATTTCAATTGAAGTGAGGATGAGAAACTTCTGATGAGTCACTCACATACCCCAGATAACCAGCTCCCTCTGCTCCTACTTCCAGACTTAGCTGAATCACTGAAGAAAGGACCACAAGCCCAGGAATTTTAAAAAGCTTCCCACATGATCTCCGTACTCACATGCTTATATGGAAAGTACAAAAAGAACATATGGACGAGTGAGAAATATACTAGAGAAAACAATCTCAACAGAACTGAAAAATATCTTTTAAAACAGACTTAACAAGAATATGTTTCTCCCCTTGGAAAAGGAAGATAAAATTCATAGTGGATAAGAATACAAATACTGAATATATTTAATGTATTTTAGTTTGACCAAAGATAGGTTTATAATGGTCAGCCAGAAGTAGCTGAAAGAATGCTGAGATTTATTGAGCTTCTCTTCTAAAGAGAGATAAAGCAACTAAATTGATAGTAATTGGATCTCGTGCTCCTCTGAATGCCACTCAGCAGAAAAAGCTCAGACCCCTGAAATGGCTTCGAGGTGAGTGACCAGCGAGGAGTCAGCCCACTTTGACAGACATGGGCTGCACAGGAGCATTCTGAGTCCTGAAGCTGGCCGCGCATCGAGATCACGATCGAGACAGGAGTGTCCAGGTAATGCCCCGAGACCCCACTCTTCTACCTCTGGGATCCTCCCCACTTACGGAGCCTCTGCCAGGTCCCAAACAGCTGGACTCCAGCTGTTTGGGACCAGGAAAGGCCAGTCCCGAATTCATATCTATCCCAAAGGAGGGAACAAGTCTAAATATCACATATTTGGGGACCCAGGAGGTGGAGTCTTCCCCATCTTGTCAAGTGTCTGGAGTAAGCAGTGGTCAGTTGGGTAGGCTGGCAGAAAACTGGAATAGGCTAATTAAATAACTCTGGATTACTGTGAGAAGCTATTCTGGGGATGTGACCACGGAACTGGCCACGTAGACCGAAGGGCCTGTTTTGCTGGGGAAAAGGGGAAGTAGAGTATCATTTAAAAGTCCACTCAGCTAGGAGTAAGCCACAAACGCATTTCACATCCCCATGGAGTATACTCTGAGAATTTGGAGGGAAAGTGTGATTCCAGAATATCCAAGAAACTTTAGGGGGAAAATACGATAAGGAAGATGCTAAATGAAAAAGTAAAGTACTTTATAACACCGGAATAATTATTAAGTATAAGGGGGGAGGGGTGGTCAAGAACACGTAAATAATTAAAAAGAAAGAAAGGTGACACACACTGGACAAGAAACAGTACTAGTCGGGCCATATCTTGAGAATGTAACACCAATAGCTTAAAAATTTAAGCAAAATATTTTAACTACATTAGGATACTAAAATGAGTAAATAGTCACATAATCTTGGGTGAGAAGGCCTCTACAGCATGACAACAAATGAGAAATTAATCAAAAAAATATTTACGGCTTTAAGTTTTTAAGTATTAAATATTTCTCGATGGCAAAACTACTGTTAACAAATCAAATGAGAGAAAAATTATTTGCAGAATGTTGGTAAAACAAAGAACTAATATTCTTAATACATAAAGAACTATTGGAAACCAATAAACATTCCACCAAAAAAAGGACAAAACCCACCTAAGAAGAATATCAACAGCCAAAAAGCATGGGAAATAGAAATGATCGACTACATTAATATCTGAAGAAATGCAAGTTAGAGCTAACAAGGTTATTTAAACAGGCAGTTTCATAAATAGAAGCCATCGTTGAAAAAAATTTGCCAAAACATCAAAAGCCCTTAAAATATATATGATTTTTAACACAATGATTCTACTCCTAGACATTCAACAAAAGGAATAAGTATGCACCCAAAGATGCAGCCCCAAAAATGGTCTCTGTAGCAGTATATATATATATATGTACGAGTGAAACACTCAGACAAAAATCCTAGGTGATCAGAAACTGGGAATCATTTACATGATTTTTAGCACATTTGTAAATGTGAGGTAGATAAGTAGATAACAGTACAGTCAAGAAAATGAAAGAATGAAAGTACAGATATAGATGTCCACAGTATGCTGTCCAGGAATAGGCGGGGTCCAAGGGGGAAATTTCAGAATCTTTCTAAGTA